GGAATACCAAACGCAATCATGAAAGACAGGGCTGCCGACGTCGCTGCTGTGGTTCAGCCCTAGGAGCACCGGCAAAAGTGCCGTACGATGTGTCCGGCAGGGAGACAACTTGATGATGATTCGAGTAAAATTACAGTTTTAATGCTTCCATCCACGTAACAACGGTCATCCATGTTTAATTGTTGCTCGCAAAGAGCGATCCTGTCACTCTCGCCACAAGGGGCGGCTGGCTTCGGCTTCAACTGCGTCTCCGCCTCCGTTCGAATGGATAGATAGAGTCGGCCATCGAAATTGTAGTCAGTTTAACGTCTTCCTTTCCCTTGCGAGCTTCAACTTCCCACTTCTCTTTTACCAACGGAGTTGGAAGTGGAGTAGTAGCAGTAGCAGCAGCATTCGTGTCCATGTTGCTGTAAAGTTTATCCTGAAGTTTTATACTGACTTGTTTTTGGCCAAACTTCTCGAAAGCCGAATAAAAATGAGCCCTGGTTGCTGGGTTTTTTCAAAGAAACCTTCAAACTGTGTCGCCTCTGAGCTATCGATAAATTCACCGTCTGACCCTCGGTATATTTCGGTATATTTCCGAGGATCTACCCGCGGTCACACTGGTAGCCGGTCTGAGATTTTTTTGTGATTTCACCCCCTCTCCCGCGGCGACAACGACCCATCCACCACCCACCGTTTCATCAATCAGCCTGCCGCTGATTGACCACCGCCGACATGGCGATGCCATCGATCTCAACGATATTGGGCGTGGTGTTCCTAGCCTACATCGCAAATTCCATCTACCAGATGTCGCAGCTCTTCACGAAGCTGAGCTGCACGGCCCAGCCGTGCTACACGTCCTTCCTGGCGGAGAAGCCACGCATGCAGCTGGCGCTATTCACGTCGCGCACACCGCAGCCGATTGCCAGCGAGGTGCAGGACATCTACAAGGCGAAGCGCTTCGACTACAGCCGACCCTTCGAGCACGACTTCGAGGTGGAGGTGCCGCTGCGGACGCGCCGCAATGGCTCGCTCTACATGCACGTCGTCCTGGCACTCGAGGGAGAGCCGCTCGAGTGGCGCAGCCTTCGTCGCGATGGTCCCACCGTTCTGCACACGCTCAGTCTCACCGACTACATGGTGCCCCGTGCCGAGGCATTTAATCTGCTCAGCGAGGAGGCAGGCAAGCCACCGACCAAATCGGTGCAGGCCAAGGCACCCAAAGACAAGCAGGGAGCAGCCGCCGCACGACCCAGCACCCACATGCGCTCCAATGTGTATGTGACCCTGCTGACGGATCTGTTCTCGATGTCGCATGCTGATGTGCCGCCGGAGATGGCCCCCCTGATACGCGTCAATATCAATCAACAGATCCTGCCCATACTGCAGACGGACACGTTCAACACACGCATGAAGGACCTGGTGGCCATCACAGGCAAAACCACAGAATTCACATTCACCTTCCACTACAAGCCCGTGGGCGTGGGCAAGCTTCGACTGATGCTGCTCATGGAGCATGCCACACAGGCGCTGCTCACGATCGGCTTTGCCACCAAGGACATTGACGAGGTCAAGGGCATATTCTCCGACACGAATGTGTATCTGCTCTGCGGCACCATCTTTGTGTCCAGCATTCATGTGAGTCTCCCTCGCTTTTCTCTCCAGATTCCATCCTGCAAATGTTGTTTTGCTCTCCGCAGATGCTCTTCGATTTCCTGAGCTTCAAGAACGATGTCTCCTTTTGGAGACGGAAGCAATCCTACGAGGGCTTATCCACCCGCACCACCCTGTGGCGCGCCTTCTCGCAGTTTGTGATCTTTCTGTATCTGCTGGACGAGAACACGTCCTATCTGGTGATTGTGCCCGTCGGCCTGGGCACCCTCATCGAGCTGTGGAAGTGCAAGAAGATATTGCGCCTCAAGCTCAGTTTCAGCGGCCTTGTGCGCCACAAGCTGGAGCAGCAGACGGACGAGCAGCCCAATGGCCAACTGGCCGAACAGCAAACGGATCAGTTCGATCGCCAGGGCATGCGGTATCTGAGCTACCTGCTCTATCCGCTGTGCCTGGGCGGGGCGGTCTACTCGCTGCTGTATCAGCCGCATCGCTCGTGGTACTCCTGGACCCTCAACTCCATGGTCAACGGCGTGTATGCCTTTGGGTTCCTGTTTATGCTGCCCCAGCTGTTTGTCAACTACAAGCTCAAGTCGGTGGCCGCCCTGCCCTGGCGTGCCTTCATGTACAAGGCCTTCAACACATTCATCGATGACTTTTTTGCGTTCATCATCACAATGCCAACGGCTCATCGTGTCGCCTGCCTGCGCGACGACATTGTCTTCCTCATTTACTTGTATCAGCGCTGGCTCTATCCCGTGGACAAGAATCGCTTGGACACGGGCTCGGCCATCACAGAAACGGCCCCGGAAGCACAGGCAGAGGCACCGGCACCGGCACCGGCACAGGCACAGGCACAGGCAACACCCGGAAAAGCCACGGAGGCTGCCAGCCGCAAGAAGCGTAACTAGAAACGCATAATGCATGGAGACAGTAGATTGCACATTCCATTCCGTCTATAGCCCAAGTGCGTGGTCAATTTTAGCCCCTAGATTTGATAAGAACAAGTCCTCAAGGAACTCCTTCAACTAGAATTTTGTAGCAACAAAAACAAAGCCACCGAAGAGGCGCTTGGATGTAGTCTAAGAAAAATCTTGTATTTTCAATGGGTTACAACTGGTTCGCTCTCCCGCTCGCTGGATACAGGACACGGGATCGCTTCTAGAATTATTTTTGTGCCACTTTTATTTGTGTGTTGGGTAAGGAGGAGATGCGCTGAACAAAAGAGTCATAGATGGGGAGTGGGATTGGGTTCTGTCCTGCTTGATGAGGCCTGCACTGCCTGCATTGCCTAGCCATTGCGTATGCCCATTGCCTGCTCCAGCTCGGCCCGCTTCTGATTTACTTTGGTGAAGAAGTAGCGCGAAACGGCCTCATGCGTCCACGGCTGATAGTAGAACTCGGCGCGTCGCTCCTCCTCCGGATTGCCCACAACATCCGTCATTAACTATAGCAGAGCAAAAAGAAGAGCAAAGTTTAAGCTGATGTTGGGATTGAACTGCGTGCAAGAGATGAACTCACCTTCAAGTCACGCGTCTGACTGATTATCCAGCGATGGATAAACATTTGCGGATCCTTGGCAAAGCTGAGAAAGAACTCACGATTCGTTTTCATCTGATTGATGGTGTCGACCGTCTCGTGTATCTTTGTGTCCAAACCCTGGATCTCCTGCTGGCTGGCGGTGCTCATCAGGAAGTTGTTCATCTGGTTCTTGAGCGTGTCGTCCACCTCGACATCGATGTCGTAGCAGGCCGTCTGCTTGTTCTCCGCACAGCTCTCGATGAAGTGATTGATGACAATGGGATCTGGGGGATGGAGCAGCGGATTGAGCCGCTGCGGTATCTCGGCAAACTTCATGCGCTGGCAGCTGAATATCTGCTCCAGATACTTGTCGCAATTGATGTACTCCCGCTCGTGGGCATCCTGCAGCTTGTGCGTCTTGATGTACTGCCACAGGGCCGAGATGATGACCGGACGCGTCTGTGTGTGGACGCCCAGCAGGCGGGCGAGCCGCGGATCCAGCTTGAACTGCAGCGGCTGGTAGTCGAGCAAGAGCAGAATGGTGCAGCGGACATTGCGGTCGCCCGGCCGCTTCACCTGAAAGCCATCTGTCTCCTGTGTGGTATGTGTGCGGTGCCACTCAACGAGATGGTTGTCCGGCCCATACAGCTCCTTGTCCAGCTCAATGACCAGAGACTTGAAGAACGACGAGAATTTGCGCTTGATCTTTGTGTTGGGATCGCCCTTGCCATCCTCCAGCAGGCGACCCTCTACGCGCAGCTCCCAGGAGGCGACGGCACCCTCCTCGCCCTCATTGGAGGGCTCCTTACAGGGGTAGAATGTATTCGAAATGAAAATGCGCAGCTTGCGCTTCTGCTTCATGGGCCGCTTGAGGGCCTCCTGGATGTCCAGGCGCTTGCGCATGATGGTCGCGTCTAGCTTGCGCTCGAACGTCAGCAGATCCATGTACGCCTGCGACTCTGGCACCAGATCGCGCACCTTCTGTGGCAGTATCTTGTCCGCCAGCTTCTTCTTTTTCTTGGCGGCGCCAAACTCTCCCTTGCCGGCGCCGCTGTTGAGGTTGCGCGACTCAGCCGAGCGCTTGCTGCCGCCACCGGAGCCACCGCCACCGCCGCCTGTGCCACGCAGAACGCTCTGGAATGCCGGCTGTGAGGCGCGCTGCAGCAACGAGGGTCCAGGTCCGGGTCCGGGCACTCCCGGAGGTGCCGCCGTCCCTGGAACGGGCTGCGTTGTGTTCGGATGCAGCGGAAAACCGCGCGGCTATAAACAAAAACACAGAGAAACACTCGGTAAGGAATTTCTCTCGGGCAAAGCATATCGAATGGAATCAATCGATGAAGTTTTTTTTTTCTTTGCTTACCGGAAAAGTTGCTCCTGGCGGTGGATAGGGACGCATGCCGGGTGATGGCGGTGGCGGTTGGTAGCGCGACTGCACTGGCGCTTGGCCAGGTGCAAAACGTTGCGACATTTTCGCCTTTGACTTGCTAAGTTGGGTGCACCTTTTATTTGCCTATTACACGAGAAACTTGACTCTTTTTTGTCGTATTAAAAAAACGCGTCACACAAAAAAAAAATTGGCTGTAAGATGGCGTCAAAGCAGGGTTGCACTTTACATTGGGGATGAGTCGCGAGATATCATTAAAAGTATTTTTAAGTAACGAGTCACAGTCTGGATTTAATTTAAGAGTTCACTTTAAGGATATCGGAATACTTAATTGAATTAATTTTTAATACAAATTAGAACTAAAGTGGTGTTTTTGCTATTTATGGAGGGTTAATTTAATAATAGCATATATTACATGTTACGTCGCATCAAACTATCGATGAGCGAAACGTCATCAAAAAGACGTCACTAGCTGATTCGATACTTTCCAATTTATTCAACTCATTGTGTATCGATAGGCTGTGTTTTGCTGTTTCGCTGCATTTTGAAAAGAAATTAAATTCCAAAAAACGCAAGTAATGGAGCCAACCTGGTGGGTGGCCAACCTTAAGGCACTGAAGTCCACGGAGCATCGCCTGGAGGCGCTAAACAAAATGAGCATGGCCATCAGCAAGTCGGCAGCTCTGCCGCGCGAAACGGTCGAACTGCTCTTGAACTGCCCGGAGTTGTACGAGTGCGCGACAATTGCCGGCGAAGATGAGCAGAAGAAGCTGAACCAGCCGGTGGTCGATGCGGCCGTAGAGCTACTGCGCCTCAGTCTCGAGCCACTGGAAATCAACACCGAGGACGAGAAGCTGCCGGGCCTGCTCAAGCGCGGGCTGACACATCCCAATGCCAGCGTGCGCTCGGTTGTGCTCAACAATCTGCTGCGTGAGCTTCGCCGCCAGTCCCGCGAAAGCACTGTACGTCCGCTGCCCAGCAACGAACTGATCATCTACGTGCTGGACGAGCTGAAGCAGCCCGAGTCGGAGTGCAGCACTGCGGCCATCAGCGTTCTCGCGATTGTCCTCACCCTGCGCCTCGACGATGCCGAGATACAGTCCAAACTGGTGCAGTTGCTGCAACAGAATGACGTCATCCGCTGCCGCGCCTACGAGCTGGGCGTAATGCTGGCCAAGCGCAATGCCGGCTCCCTCAAGAGTGTCGAATTTATCCTGGATGTGGCCCTCTCCGAGCTGCACAACACCGATGTGCTGCTGCAGGCCAGTGTCATGGAGATTTTGGTGCCGCTGGCGGACCAGAACCACGGACTCACCTACATGGAGCGCCGCCGCGTGTTCGATGTGATCAGCTCTCGGGTGCAGCGCATCGAGCAGGAGCCGCTCAACATGCTCCTCATTCCGAACATCATGAAGTTCTTTGGCAAAATCGGCGCTGTGCAGCCGCATAAGATCATCAACGACTACCCCATCATGGTGGAGTGTCTGTTCGATCAGCTGAAGCACGAGGATGAAAGCATCCTGCCCACGGCCATGGAAACGCTGGCAAATCTGACGAGCACGCCTCAGGGCAAGGTTCTCATTTCCATGCGCTTCGAGCCGGCCATGCTGCTGGCGCTCAAAACTCTCGGCGTCTACGTCCAAAAGCTGTCGCCGCAAGTGAAAATCCGTCTGCTCGAGTCCCTGGATGTCATACTGGCAACAAAGACGCGCCCCAACTCGGAGATTACGTGAGTAATCAGTCCAGGGCCCAGCAAAGACATTGTCTCATTATCTCCTTTCATTTGTAGAGCAATCGTCAGCCGCTGGTACGAGAGCTTTGCCGGTGGCGAGCAGGTGAACTACATCATGGACCTGTACAACACACCCTTCGACGATCTGCAGATCGCTGCTCTGACCCTCCTCAAGACCCTGTGCACCTACCGCTGGGGCATTGCGGCACTGCAACGCACTGGCGGAGCCGTCGAGCATTTGGTGTCGCGTCAGCGCGATCTGCACAAGGATGTCAAGTTCCTGAAGTGGGAGATCATCGGACTGCTGGCAGGCAGCGAAGAGTTCACCGCCACCGAGACGGTGCGCTTCACAGCCTACGTGAATGAGGGACCCTACTATGTGCTCACGCAAGTGAACATAGCCACAGAGTCGCAGGGTTAGCGGAGGATACAACGACTCGGGCCGCCATATCAACAGCTCCAAAATGCAGAAAATTCCAAATTTGATGTTCGGCTGGGATCGGATATTGTTTTGTTTTGTTGTGTTTTGTTTTGGGTTAATTAATAGCTAGATTCAAATGCAAATGGATGCAGACTAACTTTTGAATATGTATTTATAGAATTACAATTAAAATGTAACTATTAAATCACTTATCACATTCCACTGTGGCCAGTCGGTCGCTGTCTGCCTGCGTGTGTCTACAGATAACTCATTTGGCGATGTGAGAGACGCTTGCGACCGGAGCCACCGCCGGCAGTGCCGCCGAGATGAGCCAGGCTCACGCTCAGGCCGGACTCGTAGCCGGTCTGGGTCTGGGAGCGTGTCTCATTGTTCACCAGCGAGCAGCTGGGCAGGGTGTGGCAATAGCGTCGCAGCTGCTGCTTAAACGCCGCCGTCGTCAGTGTGTAGAGCACGGGATTGAGGGCCGAGTTCACCGGCAGCACCAGCACCGCCAGCCAGGCATACAGATCCGGCGAGATGACACAACCTGCAGGCAGTCAGACGGGGAAAGGGCAAGGCAACTTTTGTGTTTCACTCACCTGAAAGAGCGGCAATCTTTACCACGATAATGGGCAGCCAGCAGGCGCAGTCGGTGGTCACAATGATGGCAAAACTAAAACGGGATGAAGGAGTCAAGTGTGTGGCCTTCGATCGCCGAAGCAGACTCACCGCGTGGCCACCACATTCTCGCGTCCGCTGTGTGTGCTGCGCATGCCGCCGCCCGAGTCGCGTATGGCCTGCAGCATGCGCACGTAGGAGAACAGTATGAAGACCAGCGACAGGGTGTTGACGCAAATGAACAGCAGCGCCGAGTACTCCCAGCCCTGAAAGGCAGTCCAAGCACAATTATATGGCACCAAGAGGAAGGAGCTGGCGCTGTCTCACCTTGGCGTACGGATCGTGGATGTGCAGCGAGAGGCACACGCCATTGTTGCCATAGAAGTAGCTGCCGAAGTAGGCGTTGGGCAGCAAGGGAGCCGCCGCCAGGCCAAAGCTAACGCCCCACAGCAGCAGCAGGCGCAGAACAATGCTGCAAGGAAAACCCCCAAAACGAACAAGGATCAATCAAGCAACGAGTAAAGCAATTCCAAAAATATAATCAATGGTTAATGGACTGGAAAGGCTCCCCTGGCTCTGCTTCACGCACACGAGCTGGCACCTTGGCCATATTCTTCTGCTCCTCGAAGTCTCTTTGCTCCTCGGCGTCTGCTGCGCCTTTCAGTGCCACGAGCTCATCGAGGCGACGCTCTATGTTGGTCAATTTCTGCATGATCTGCACCAGATCCACGCCTGCTGCAGCACCGCCCACGTTGGGGTTGCTCTCACTGCTGTCGGAGCTGTCGGAGCTGTCGGAAGCGGCGTTCTCCCCTGGACTGCAGCTGGAGGGGTTCACACTGCGCTGGGGAATGTGCTGCGACGAGGGCGGCAGTGGCGGCCGCGGAATGCCATGAAACTCAAACAGAGATACACTGCGCTGGAGAAGAATGAGCATGAGGATGAGGATGAGGATGAAGATGCCCAAGATATAACATTCCCTTACGGCTCTATCCTCGGCTGCCGCTTGCACAAAGAAGGTGAGGCAATGGCACACCTGGCAAGTGTCCGAAAGTCCCCTAATGTGTCGACCCTCTCGACCCATCTTGGGTCCCACCAACTCGAACTCTGGCTCAGAGCTGAGCGCTCCCTTTCTATGGCGGCAACGTGTGCACTCGAACATGCTGGCCAGAAAGCTGAACAAATTTCAGGACCAAATTTTCAACAAAATAACAGAATTTTACGTTCGGGGCTACGAGCTGACTGATTAATTCAAGCTACTGACTGAGTTTTTGCTCACACGATTTCCCCTCTATATTGTAGTTCAGTTTCCCCTTTGAAGATTTCCCTTCTGTTAATGGCTGTTCAGCGCTGTTGACAGCACAGCGCAACAGCCGGTTTCCCCTCTCCGCTAACAGTCCGCTAAGGGTAGAGTCCATTGCTCTGTTAGCGCTGTAGGAAAGCGGACTGTTAGCTCCCACGATCCACACGTACTGTATTCACACATTCACGATCCACAAAGCACAGGGTTCTGCAGCGGATCTTGGTAAGTCTTGTAAGCTAGATTAAGTGATGTTTCTACACACGCCATTCATTAGTTTGTTCTATTAATTTTAGAGCAAATTAGGTACAAGCTTACCGAATCTTTTCCGTATCGCGTGGCTTCAGGGGCCGCGTGACGGACATCAGGCGGTCCCAGGTGACCAGCGTGAGCAGCAGCGTCGATGATTGGCAGCTAAAGGTGCTCAGAAATCCTAAACACAGGTAAGTGTGAAATTAGACAAGGAGGATAAGGATGATGAATGGATTGCTAGATTGGTTGGCTACCTGCAAAGGCACAGATGGAGCTGTGGCGCCAGGCCTCCTCGTGCATGATGTACTCCCCGCGAAATGTGATGTCCGCACAGGCAATCAGCGTCAGGTAGATGCCCATGAGGAAGTCGCTGGCCGCCAGATGGCGCAGATACAGCGAGTGCTCGACATTGCTGCGTGACTTGTAGAAGTATCTGCCCAGGAGGACGAGCAGGTTGCCCACCACGGCAATGGAGGCCATCACCCAAACACTGCAAAAGAGAGACAAAGTGATGGGTGAATGGGGGGGGGGGGGGGCATAACCTTTGCCTGGACAAATTGTCCCTCTATGCACACGGACCAATGAATGTACCAATGCCGAATGCCGAATGCCCATAAATTGGGGCAATTAAAGGAAACGTAAGACACCACCGTGGCAGCAGCACAGCCCCCTATTTGTCCTTTGTCCTTTGACTTTGTGTGTGTGGTTGGTGTGTTGGTTTCTGTGACTTCGTGACCCGTACAATTGCCAATGCCTGTGTGCCTCATTATTGCAAGGATGCTGCTCTGGCACAGCAACTGCTGACACTGCCGCAATGCTTACGGATATGAAAGCAAGAGCTGGAGTCTGCCTCCAACTCTGTAACTTATGCCAGTGCCAAGCAAGTGCTGTTCCGCTTCCCATTCATTTGCCAGCGCTCCAAGTAGGTGTCTGGTGACTGACAATCATCAGGCACATGCACAGACTGCAGGAATGGCACATTGAATGATGAATCAAACAAATGCAATCAACTGAAATGTGTACGCAGACTTGGAAAGATTGCCAGCTTCCACTTGCCACTTTTGTATATCGGGGTCACCAAAGTGCAGCTTTATGTCCGTTGGCAAATTGCTAGAACTGCAGACCAGCTCAGAGGGCAGCTGCAAGTTAGAGATAGCGTTCGCAGGTGGCCCATAAAAGTACAGCCACCAGCTGGGAGCGAAAAGGATCCGCTCCAACGACTTGAAAGCCCCCTAAGTGTTTAATTTGTATGAAAACATCAACACGGAATAATGAAATAATTTACTAAGCACAAAGTAAATGCTTGTCAGCAGCGTGTCCTTGGATCCCAGGCTCCTTCTGCTGACTGCCTGCTGTCTGCTGTCTGTCGTCAGTCTGTCGTGCCACGTCTCTCCTCACACACATTGCTGCTGCTGCTGCTGTTTGCTTTTGGTGGATGTGCAGCACTTGGGGGAAGCGCCGTATTCCATGTACATAGAACCAACAGCAAAATAACCTGCTGCTGAAAACGTAATTTTCATTTTGCGACCAAGACGAAGACGACGCCGTGGCAGGCAGCCAGATAATCACTCAGGCCAGTTGATGACAAGTGACTGCCGGTTGCCGGTTGCCGGTTGCCACTGCACGACTCCTGCTGCGTATATATTTGCCTTGCCAAGTAGCTAAAATGGAAACATTTGGGATGAGTCCAAATCGGAATAACGACACGAATGCCAGTGAAAAATGTGTCCGAAGTTGCCTCAGCTCCCACTTATACTTTGATCTCAAAGGGCACAAATTTCCCTGCTGCCACATTTGTGGTCTCTAAATTAGGTAAAAGAAAAGCCATGCTGAGCGAAAGCGATGATCTGCGAGGACACTGTCCTCCCATTCCGTCCCATTGGACTGATGTCAGAATCACACCACCAGAATCTGCACCAACTTCGAGAGAGCTGTAAAGTGTTCTTCTGCTTTTAAGCTCTGCCCGCCACCCTTTGAGAGAGCTTTTATGGGTTTTTTGTCTCCTTTTAGCTTGATTAAATGTTGGGGCCATGCACTCACCTGCCACGAAGTATCTGATTATCCAGCAGATGCCAGGTGCTGCTGATGCCATCGCCATGCGGATCGCAGACCCGCACATGGAGTGCGGCACGACACAAATGGAACCACGAGAAGTAACTGACAGGAGCAGACAGAATGGGGATGAATAAAAGGTAAATAAGCACTTCAACAGCTCCTCCACTCACATGTAGTCCAGGCTGCTTAGGTTTTGCAGGACTCGCGGATCGAGGGTCTGAAAACGATTGCCCGTTAGCAGCAGCGAGCTCAGATTTTCGAGGCACGCGAAGGCACCCAGGTCGAATCGTTCGATGCGGTTCTCGTTCAGCTGCCTGCAAGACACAAAAACAGAGGGAACGGGGGAGAGAGTTAGAGCTATGGCCTGGTGCTTTGCTGGATATTGCTTGGATATTGCTCAACACGCGCCAAGGTAAATGGTGTGTATTTGCATTTGGGATTCGCTGGGAGCTTAGAGTACCCCCCCACCCTGGCCGCTGCCTTTTGCCTGGCTCAAAGTTTCATCATTAAAGTTGTGCCATTGATGCCGGAGCACGTATGCGGTATATTTGTCCATTCCATTCCATTCCATTCCTTTCCATTCCATTCCCATCTCTGCCTTTACTCACACGTTCGGCATTTGTTTGTTCCTCTTTTGCTAATATTTTTTGCCCATCCGTTTTCTATTATTCTTCTCCGTTGTTTCTTTGCGTTTGCATGCAAATCATTTCCAGCCTCGGCCGTCGTCAAATGAAAGTTGCTTGAGCCACGGGCCGTGGAATGTGAAGGGGCGCAGGGCAGGCATCAGATTGAGGCTTGGGCTTGGGTTTGGGTTTTGCAAATGAAAAACTGTCAGCTTTTGCATTCCTCAACCTTCTCCCTGCCCACCGCTTAAACAGCAACAACAACAACAAAAACATTATTGATAAATTAAATTCCTCGGCCCGAAGCGAAACTTAAACGGCAATAAATCCCAATGACACTTGGCCCCTAACCCGACACGAAACGGGCAGACATGGAAAATCTGAGGAGTGGGACAGGGACATACCCTACCGTGTGGTAATGGAATGGAATTTATATTTTAATTACGAATGATACCCCGAAACAATCAACGAGATTTGAGCTGCAATTGTGTCGAATCTTTCCATTTTTCATTGTTTTTTTATTACCCAAACTCCACTTACAATCCTTGGAGATAGCTGAGATTGCAGAAGGTTCCGTCTCGTATGTGGGACAGTCTATTGCCAGCCAGAAATCTGCAAGAAGCGGCAACAAATGGAAAATGGAAATGCTTAGACCTAAAGGGCCAACTGGAGGGGCTGGAGTTGTGGGCGGGACTCACAAGTGTCGCAGGCGGGGAAAGGGAAATGTGTTGGCGGCTATCTCCTCGATTTGGTTCTGGGCCAGGGACAGGGTATGCAGATTGAGCAAGGTTCGGGGAAACATCTCTGGGTCCAACAGCTGAAGGCGATTCTCGTTCAAATATCTTTTGGGGCGATCAAAACCTGAGAAGTTCAGTGGGAAAACTGACGGAAGGAATACTTACAGCACTTCCAGACTGGGCAGCTCGGCGAAGACATCGGCCTTGAAGTGTTCGATGCGATTTCCACGCAGATCCCTAAAAGAAGGCAGTAGAGATTTCGCTGGGGTCTTCCTTTTGTCGCTTATCAAATACTTACAGCTCCTGCAGATGTGGCAAACGCTGAAAATCGCTCCGATTGAGGCTGTGCAGTCGGTTGCGTGCCAAAATGCTGCAACGGAATGGCAAGGCAAAAGAAAAACTACACAAAATCTCATTTTAATGCAGAAGAGCAGGGCCACTTGGCAACAAAAGCCGCTGCAACAATGGACCATGGAGACCAGAACTGAGCCAAAAGTCGGAGCATATATCTAGATTTTAATTAGCCATTAAGCGCAAGTAACATGCAGGACAATGGGGCACAACCCCCACGCGTACTCCTCCACTTGGCTCCATACATATCTGCTCCACGGTACTGCAACTGCAACTGTCAACTGGCCAAAAGGGCAGTGAAAGTTTTGCCGTCCCATGCCAAGTGCAGCTGTGACTCGGAGTCGTAACTGAGTTGTTTATGTGTTTTTGTGTGTCGCCAGGTTTTGTCTATACTATTTTGTTAGGGTGTACCAATGCCGCCAGATGGGGCATGATGATTTTTAACGCTGTTCAATTGTTCAAGAAGCTGCCAATGAATCTGAAAAGTCTCTGAACCCAAGCCGAAACAAGTTATAAAAGGATCACAACTGATTCTCATCTTTGATGCACATTTTTCTTCTTAGAACTTTAATATTGAATAGGCACCAATTCGAGAGCATTTCAGAGTCACATTGAGCACTTTTTTGAGTGAATCTTTCCAGAGCAAAGCCACAAACCGAGGGCATTTCCGTCTCGCCTTTTGGCCAACTGCTGTTGGCTGTTGGAATGGGCCAAGAGGGCAGCCCTCCCGCTCGACTCAGTGCACACAACAAGCTGAAAACTTTTTACCGTCTGTGCTAATATTTTTATGCCCACAAAACGGGGAAAAAGGACAACGAAAGCGCCACAACAAAGAGCGGCCGGAATTGTGCCACATTGTCTGTCGTTGGTGCCCCCAACCCCAACTTGTTCCAGTCCCACCGATTCACTCTC